AAAAAAAAAAAAAAAAAAAACCTTTAGCTAACATCATACTTCACGGTGAGAAAGTAGACGCTTTCACCCTAATGTCAAGAACAAGGCAAGGATGGCCTGTCTCACCTCTCCTACTCAACATCATACTGGAAGTCCCAGCTAATGAAATAAGACATGAAAAGAAAATGTACACAGATTAGAAAAGAAGAAATAAAGCTATTTTTGTTCTCAGATGATATGATTGTCTATGTACAAATATCAAAGAATCAACCAAAGCACTCATTGAACTAATAAGCAATTATAACAAGGTTTCAGGATATAAATTTAATATACAAACATCAATTTATTTCCTATATACCAGCAATAAACAATTGAAATTTGAAATTAAAAACACAATAACATTTACATTTGCATCCAAAAAATGAAATACTTGGGTATAAATATAACAAAATATGCACACGATCTATATGAGGAAAACTACAAAACACTGTTGAAAGAAATCAAAGATCAAAATAAATGGAGAGACATTCCATGTTTGTGGATAAGTAGACTCAGTATTGTTAAGACATCCGTTCCTCTCAACTTGATGTATAGATTCAACACAATTCCAACAAAAAATCCAAGAAAATTATTTTGTGGGTATTGAAAAACTTATTCAAAAGTTTATATGGAAAGGCAAAAAAAACCCCGAAAATAGCCAAAACAATATTGAAGGACAAGAATAAAGTTAGAGACTGACACTACCTGATATCAAGACTTACTACAAAGCTACAGTGATCAAGATAGTGTGCTTTGGTGAAAGAATAGACAAATAGATCAATGGAACATTTTGAGAGCCCAGAAATATACATACACAGTATGGACAACTGATCTTCAACAAAGGTGAAAAGACAATTCAATGGAGAAAAGACATTCTTTTCAACAATTGTATGTAACAAAGGGACGTCTATATGTAAAAAAGTGAATCTAGATACAGAGCTTACACATTTCACAAATATGAACTCAAAATGGATCATAGACCTAAATGTAAACAAAAGTATAAAACTTTTAGAGGACAATGTAAGAGAAAATCTAGATGACCTTGGGTTTGGAGATAAGTTTTTTCTTCAAGTTTTATTGAGATATAATTGACATAAAATATTGTGTAAGTTTAAGGCGTAAATGTGATAATTTGATATGCATATATTGTGAAATGATTACCACAGTGGGGTTAGTTTACGCTTCTACCACCTCACATAATTACCACTTCATTTTTGTGGTGAGAACATTTAAGATCTATTCTCCTTAGCAACTTTCAAGTATATAATACAGTATTGTTACCAATAGTCATCATACAGTACATTAGATTCTCAGGACTTATTCCTCTTATAATTGGAAGTTTGTATCCTTTGACTGACATCGCCCCATTTCCCCAAACCCCCAGTCCCTGGCAACCGTAAATCTACTCGCTGTTTCTATAAGTTCAACTTTTTAAATTCCACATATAAGTGAGATCATATAGGATTTGCCTTTCTCTGTCTGACTTATTTCACTTAGCATAATGCCCTCTAGGTCCATCCTTGTCACAAATGTCAGGATTTCCTTCTTCCTCATGGCTGAATAATATTCTATTGTATTTATATACACCACGTTTTCTTTGTCCATTCATCTGTCAGTGAACACTTAGGTTGTTTCCATATCTTGGCTATTGTGAAGAATACTGCCATAAACATGAGGTGCATAGGGGTGCAGGATCTCTTCAAGATCTTGATTTCATTTCCTTTGGATATATACTTATAAGTGGGATTGCTGGATCATATGGTAGTTCAATTTTTAATTTTTTGAGGAATCTCTATACACTAGTAGGTATACCAATTTACATTCTCACCAAAAATGCACAAGGGTTCCCTTTTCTCTACAGCCTCATCAACACGTTATCTCATCTTTTTGATAATAGCCATTCTAACAGGTGTAAGGTGATAGCTCATTGTTGTTTTGATTTGCATTTCCCTGATGATTAGTGGTGCTGAGCATCTTTTCATATACCTGTTTGCCATTAGTATGCTTTCTTTGGAAAATGTCTATTCAGTTCCTCTGCCCATTTTTTTATTGGATTATTTGTTTTGTTTTGTTTTGGTTTCGCTATTGAGTTGTATGCATTCCTCATATTCTTTGCTGGTATTGAGAATGGGATTCTTTTCTTTATTTCATTTTCAGATATTTTCTTGGTAATGTATAGAAATGCAACCTATTTCTGTATGTTGATTTTGTATTCTGCAGCTTTACTGAATTCATTGATTTGTTCTAACAGTTTTTTGGTGGAGTTTTTAGGATTTTTTATATATAAGATGATATCCTCTGCAAACAGAGACAATTTTACTTCTTTCTTTCCCATTTGGATGTCTTTATTTCTTTCAATCTCTCACCATTGAGCATGATGTTGTGGGTTTCTCCTATTATGTTGAGGTATGTTCCTTTTGTACTCAATTTGTTGAGAGTTTTTATCATGAATGGAAGTTGAATTTTGTCAAATGCTTTTTCTGCATCTATCGAGAAGATCATATAATTTTTATCTTTCATTCTATTAATGTGGTGTATCACATTTATTGATTTGCATAGGTCGAAATATACTTGCATCTCAGTGATAAATGCCACTTGATCATGATTTATGAGCCTTTTAATTGCTGTTGAATTGGGTTTGTTAATATTTTGTTGAGAATTTTTGTCTCTATATTCACCAGGGATATTGGCCTGTAGTTTTCTTTTCTTGCAGTGTCCTTATCTGACTTTGGTATCAGGGTAACACTGGTCTCATAAAATGAGTTTGAAAATGTTCCCCCCTCTTCTATTTTTTGGAAGATTTTGAGGATTGGCATTAATTCTTTTTTAAATGTTTGGTAGAATTCACCAGGGAAACCATCTGGTCTTGGGCTTTTGTTTGTGAGCAGATTTTTGTTTACTGATTCAATCTCTTTACTTTGGTGGTGTCGTGTTTCCTTTGGTGGTGTCATGTTTCCTTGATTTTTCTTGTTCCTTGAAGTCTTGCATTGCTGTCTTTGCGTTTAAAGTAGCTGTCACCTCCTCCAGTCTTGACTGACTTCAGGAGAGAAATACTTTCTGTCTGTCTGGCTAGGGATTCTAAAACTTTCTCAGACCTACAGATATGCCTGCTCCTCACTTCTTGCTCCCTCTTGTGGCAGAATTCATAAGTGTGTATGTCTTTTTTCAGTCCTGCAATGTACCAGACCGGGTGCTAACAGTCTCCCTTTTGCTTTCCTAAGGGCAAAGCTAAATCTCATGTTTGTGGTCTCTCCCTGGCCCACAGATTCATGTTGGCTTTTTGTGCATGGTCACTAGCCATCTGCCAGAGTTCACTCTCACTGCCTTTGGGAGCACACATGGAGAGTGGGTGGGGGTTTGTGTGGGTGAAGCAAGCAGAGTGCTGGGGGTGTCAGTGGGCCAGTTGTGGGGATCTGCAGGTGAGATGTCCCAAGCAGCTTGTGAGTTGGCTTCTTGATGGAGTCCATGAAGCAGTTAGTAGGCTCTATGGCCCTTTGCTGCCCTCCAACAGTCCTATGTGTCGCTCTCCCCATCTCTTCCTGCCTCCCAGTCATGTAGCTCATGACTCAGTAATCTGGATAGGAGGAGAGAGAAATGGGCCTCTTTGGCAGTATCCCACACAGCTGGGGAAGCCAGGCACTCATTAACATCCTCACTTTCCCCCACAGGAGAAATGACTGACCGAGAAGGTCTCTCTTGGAATTGAGGAGTACTGCTTTGGGGGAGGGGTGATGCAGGTAAAGTCAAAAATGTTACTCTTTCCCTCTCCAATGAATCCAAACTTTTTTTTTTTTCCTCTAACAGTGTGCTGGAACTTCTCTGCTGGAAACTTGGACTTTCACAAAGACTCTCTTGCCCATGGGTGATTATCTCATCCATGGGTGATTGATAGTGTTCTCTAGGGGCTCCCAGACCATGGCTGAGAGGGGCTGGAGCCAGTTCATGAGCCACTGCAGGGTCCACAGCCTGGACCAAGGTCTGTATGGCTATTACCTGAGGCATGGGTGGGCAAGACTCCTCCCTGGTCCCTTGGCATATGATATTGGGTCCCACAACTCCCGCATATGCACTTTCGTCTGTGGATGGATGCCAAATTGTTATTGTTAAGGGGGGTTATGTTTGAGAGATGTCTTATTTGTCCATGTTGCTAACATCACTTCTGGCGATGAGTTCTTAGATAGAACACAAAAAGCATGATCCGTGAAAGAAAAACCTGTTAAGTGGGACTTCATTAAAATTAAAAACTTCTGCTATCTTAAAAATACATTTAAGATAATAAAAAAGCCACAGACTGGGAATAAATCTTTGTAAAACACATATATGATAAAGGACTGAAAAAAAACAAGGAATTCTTTTTCTTAATTTTTTTTTATTGAGGTAACCTTGGTTCATAATATTATATAAATTTCAAGTGTACATCATTATATTTCGATTTCTCTGTAGACTATATCATGTTCACCACCCAAAGACTAATTACCATCCATCACTGTACACATGTGCCCTATCACCCCTTTCATCCTCCTCCCTCCACCTTCCCCTCTGGTAACCACCAATCTAATCTCTGTCTATCTGTTTATTTGTGGTGGTGGTTGTTTTTATCTTCTACTTATGACTGAAATCATATGGTATTTGACTTTCTCCGTCTGACTTATTTCACTTAGCATAATACCCTCAAGGTATACCCATATTGTTGCAAATAGCAAGATTTCCTCTTTTTTAATAGCTGAATATTATTCCATTGTGTATATATACCACATCTTCTCTATCCATTCGTCCATTGATGGGCACTTAGGTTGTTTCCAGGTCTTGGCTATTGTGAATAATGCTGTGATGAACATAAGGGTGCATATATCTTTACACATTTGTGTTTTCATGTTGTTTGGATAAATATCCAGCAGTGGAATAGCTGGATCATATGCTAATTCTATTTTTAATTTTTTTGAGTAATCTCCATACTGTTTTCTATAATGGCTGTACCAGTTTACATTCCCACCAGCAATATATGAGAGTTCCCTTTTCTCCACATCATCTCTAACACTTGTTATTTCTTATCTTGTTAATAATAGCCATTCTGATGGGCATGAGGTGATATCTCATTGTAGTTTTCATTTGCATTTCCCTAATAATTAGTGATGTTGAACATCTTTTCATGTGACTGTTGGCCATCTGTATATCTTCTTTGGAAAAATGTCTGTGCAGATCTTTTGCCCACTTTTTAATTATGTTGTTGGTTTCTATGTTGTTGAGATGTAGGTGTTCCTTATATATTTTGGATATTAACCCCTTATAAGATATATGATTTGCAAATATCTTCTCCCAATTGTTAGGTTGCATTTTCGTTTTGTTTATGGTTTCTTTTGCCTTGCAGAAGCTTTGTAGTTTGATGTAGTCCCATTTGTTTATTTTTTCTTTTGTTTCTCTTTCCTGGTGAGACACAGTATTTGAAAAGATGCTGCTAAGACTGCTGTCAAAGAGCGTACTGCCTATGTTTTCTTTTAGAAGTTTTATGGTTTCAGTTCTTACATTCAAGTCTTTAATCCATTTTGAGTTAATTTTTGTGTATGGTATAAGATAATGGTCTACTTTCATTCTTTTGCATGTGGGTGTCCAGTTTACCCAATACCATTTATTGAAGAGACTTTCCTTTCTCCATTGTATGTTCTTGGCTTCCTTGTCAAAAATTAGCTGTCCATAGATGTGTGGGTTTATTTCTGGGCTCTCAATTCTGTT